TCATACTAATTGTTTATGCTGTCTTTGACAGACAAATTCAAATAGATTCCGATCGTATTGTACGCATCATTGAATAATGCTTGAACCTCTTACCACAACGCAACTTGACGATATTCTTTTCAACACAAGCGTTACTAGCAAAAACTATATTGGTACTTACCCTTCTTGTTTCTCACCTACATCTACCAAACCATATTATGCTTTCATTTCAAACACTGAGGAGCATGATGAAAATGGAGAACATTGGTGTGCTTGGGCTGCAAAAGATGATACAATATGCTTCTTTGATTCATTTGGACGATCGCCAGACCACAAAACTCTACCTAAATATTATAAGGATATTGTAAAAAAGTTTAAGTTTGTTAGATACACAAACTATAGAGTTCAAGGCTGGAATAGCAAAGCATGTGGTTACTTTTGCATTCATTTTATCTATGTGTTAAGTTTAGGGTTAGATTATAAAGATTTTTTAAACGACTACTCACAAGATTTTGAAAAAAATGATTCTGTAGCTTTTAATTTTGTTTCTTCAATAATTTGAATAAATTTGTTTTATTTGTACAAATGAAAACAAGTTCATAAAGACATAAAATAAAACCAATAAAATTACAACTAATTGATATCAACTACATCGAGAAACTTTCCGTTTGGAGCAATCCATCCGACGACCCAGTATTTGTGTCCAATTTTCATATTTTCAAGTTTCTGGTATGCAAAGTTATTTGGGAAAATAACCGGAGCAAAGGCTTTGTTATCTACTTCACTGAAAAGCTCTAGTTTGAACCCTGCACTGTTTGAATACTGCTTTAGCGTTTTAGAAACGATCTGCATTTGAGTATTCACTCTTTTCTTGTGTTCTTCCTCAGGTATCAATCGACATCCATCGCATCCAATCTCCATTCTTTGAGTATCAATACCCTCCAGTGAGTTAAAGCATATTGGACAATTGTCAACGTGAGATGAAACCATGTTAACGAGTATAGGATACCCATCCTTGTAGGAATATTCCACTTGTACTTCTTCTCCCACTTTGAAGGGAATCGCGGTACTGGATCTAGTACTTCCAGGTTTCTTTAACTGTACGGTATCCCAAACATTGAACTTAATCAATCTTGTCTTGAATGGTATATTCGTTGAGATCGTCAAGCGAGTGTATCCTTTTGTATTTGGATTAATTTCACAAATCAATCCATAGTTGTTGAAGAGTGCCATGTTTGAAACGTAACCAAAGTTCTGTATCAAGAAATGAGCTCTCTACATTCCAACTCGATTTATATAGGCGAGTCACTGGGCATTGAATTCATGAAGACCTTAAAACAATTGCGTAACATGTACTTGTTTTCATTTGCCATCTGAGTAACATCTGATAAGTTCAGCTCTTCTCGTATTGCTTGCAAAACTATATTTTCATGGATATTGATGATATCTTCATAACTCTTACTCTGAGCTGATATCAAAATATCAAACATAGGGAGTACTCTTTTTCGAATACGGTAAATGTCAAACATAGTTATAACTTTGGTTCTTTGATAGTATGAAAGCTCAGAGTGAAGCTCATTCAGAAATTCTGATGGTGAGTTGACAAAGAACTCTTGGAAATATTGTGTGCTGGTCTGCATCTTTAATCGGTCAAGGTTGGAACTCTAAGTACTTATATATCATGCCTCCCTTCAATCAAAATGAACTCTGGATACTCTGAAAAGTAGCACCCATCTCCAAACCTCCGTTCATGTTTAACAGGGTGGTTTTGATCGAGATTGTTCCTGATGATACTGGGGACATTGGTTAAAAGCTGTGGCATGGTAAGCAAATATTTCTTTGGGGTGTCGTGTGGTTATGAATTAGTCTGTTCTTTGAAGAAATATAATTTACCTCGATAAATAAGTTTTGAATTAGCCCGATCACATTCACTCTCTTTAGTTTCGAGTATTTATCATAAGAGAATATGACACTCAACCTAGACCTATAACCGATACTACCAGGAAAGTTTACGAGATGCAACTCTTAAACCTTAGTAGCAAAGTCCGATCTTCTAGATCGGTGAGTAAAATCCAAGTTGAAAACTGAGCCGAGTCATGATTGCATCTGTATGGGTACAAAGGATGACATATCAAAACCTGTTGATCGAACAAAGGAGTTATATAGTTTTGATGAGTTGCACTTGAAATATCTTATCGATCAAATTGGAGAGATTAAAATTGTTGTTGATTCTGTTGACCTAAGACTCTAAGAGACATTGGAAACTCAGAAATTCTGATGGTGAGTTGACATAGAACTCTTGGAAATATTGTGAGCTGGTCTGCATCTTCAATCAGTCAAGGTTGGAACTCTAAGTTCTTATATATCATGCCTCCCTTCAATCAAAAACTTTCTATTCATCCATCTGTATTGGCCCAACACCTCGATCGTTTCTGCAACAGCATTAGAACATTGTGGTGCATGTAGGTGTTGGCTTTTAGTGTTATGATTGTACTTTGTAACACAGTATGGGTAGATGGGTTCATTTCCAAATATTTCCGTTTGCTTAAATCGGACAGACTTCTTAGTTTTTTTAGTTGATGTCTTTTTCAGTATTGATGTTCCTGGATACCATGTCTGTGGAAGTTCTATATCAAGCAAAAAGTATTCACTCCTATTATCAGCACATTTATGAAGGGTGGGTGCTTCTTTTCCTTGCATGTGTAAGAACAATCGCTTTTCAAACTTTTTGCGACGACGTTCACAAATTGTTAGAACCTCATAACCATAACAGAGTTTTTGCTCTTTCAGCTTTGTGCGCAGATCTTCAATTGATAAATCACGGATCTCTTGCATATTAGCTCATATCATTCACCTCTATAATATGGTTGCTTGCTGTTAACCACCCTACTACAACATAATTTTTACCTACTTTTAAATTGGGTACTCGATTAAAAACAAGAGTGTTTTCAAAAATCCTTGCTCTTAAAATTCTATTCTCTTTAAGATAGAGTAACTCTAATCTGAAAGCTCTGGTAACCGAATAACTATGTACAGCAAGTAATCTCATGATCCCAATAACAAAACCTCTGTGATATTCATCTTCAATAAGAATATCTGACATTGTAAAACTAACAAAAAGAGAAATGAGATATATAATGATGTTGATCCTTTTAATAACAAATTTTTACAAGTGATGAAATTGCTCGAAATTTTTACAAGTATCGAAAATCCGTGAAATTTTTACAAGTGTCGAAAATCCGTGAAATTTTTACAAGTGTCGAAAATCCGTGAAATTTTTACAAGTGTCGAAAATCCATGAAATTTTTACAAGTGTCGGAAAATGTGTGCAATAGCAAAATGTGTGCTACAGGGGGTAAATATCTCTTACTACCAGTTTAACTGTTTATACTCTGACTTCTCTTGTTTACACTTTTAACTAATGTCGTACATATTTTCAGTTCCTCTAGTCGTCAACCGTGTGACACTACAGACAGTCAATGGGTGATAATTGAAACCGGAATATCCCACATTGTATTCCATCAGCAAGCATGGTAAAGCACCAAACGATGATGAATGATGACATGGAAATAATGTTTCTAATTCAGTGAATAACCCACAATGAAGATACATCGGACAAATCACTTCTTATAGTTTTCTGCCGAAAAAACTAAACTTTATCTTTTCGTATCAACCAAAGAAACATTTCTTATTACTAAAATGTCAAAACTGCCAAATATTAATTGTATAATAGAATATTATGCTCATTTGGAGAAATAAAGACTTTATTTGTAGAAATTTGTGTTAAAAACCGACAACGATTAGGGTGAGATATATTTGCGCCAGATATGTAATATTTTTATCGGCGGACTGATTTCAATATGGTATCTATTGTGATTTAAGACATCAATTTTGAGGAAAAATTTTAATATGTACGGTTAGAAAATCATTTCAGCTTTCTACACTTAACTGCACAATTTTTGTATTGTGTCTATCAGCCAAGAAATTGTTAAATGAAGACAAAAATTATGGGCGCAAATTCGTTCAATATTACCAAATGCGCGGAGGTTTCTTTTTACCATTTTAACAGATTTTATCCGATTTTTAAAATTCTTTCTGTGTGATCATGTGTAAACCTTTATGAATACATTGGTGTACTTCATTTGTCAAATGAAAACGAATAAACACACTAATCAAGCTGTCTAAGAGCGAGATGGCCGTATTTTCCCAATCTGCGCGTGAAAAGGTCCCTACTCCTTCTGCCGCGGTGCTCTCGTGCACGCGAAGCGTGCACGCTTGCCGGCCGGCCGCGCGCGATCAAAAGGGGTTGCAGCGTATGTCAACCTTGACATACGTTGCATGCCACTTTTCGCGCGCGCCGACGAAGGCGGAAAAAGGGCCATAATATCTCTGATATTTGAGATAAGAAACATGAGGAACCTTGGAAATTTCTGCGAATTCGCCGCGATTTTCGAGATTTTTGCCGCGATTTTGCCACGATTTTGCTAGTTTGGCTTGTCGCGGCGCCGCGATTTTTGGCCTAAATAATCGCGATTTTCTTTTGTCCTTGCCGCGTCCGTTGAGTCATTAATTAAACATCTGACCAATGAGCGCACGTTATTTCGTCCAATCACAGCGCCTTATATCGTCCAATTGTATGCCAGTCACGGCTGACATGACACAGTCACAAGACGACACAGTAGTTATAGTCTTATTAAAACAACGTCAACAATACCGGTCATCACTATAGTAACACACCACGATTTGAACGGGACAGGGAACATTTTTCCCACGGCGAGCAGGAAAGTGCTTGGAACCAGTGTTCGTCAAGGTCTTATCCAAAAGACGATGTTTGATTTTGTTTTCAAAGCGGAGGTATGAGGTCAACCATGAGTAATGCGATTAGTCAATAAAGACACCGTGATTGTTAGAAAAAGGAGATGATGAAGCAAGTACACATGACACAAAGAAGAATGGTCGGTGGGGATTGGGACCCACTTAAATCACCCTAAAACAGTTCCCCTCAGTAATCCATCCTGTCACTCAAATTATTTGTTATATAGTAGTGTTGAAAGTATTAAAACTATTAACTAATTAACTTCATAAAAAAAGAGTAAGAATCAAAATTTTAAAACTTGCTGCATATTTGTTATTGTTGCTATCTCAAGAACATGTGTTCCAAATTTGAGATGGAACAGATAAAAGCTCTGCGAGAAGGTGGGTTTAAAAAGTGGTACATGAGTATTTGGACCTTTACCGATAGTAAATGTCCGAATATTTCAGTAGAGCCTAAATGCTGATTATCGAGAAAATATGTTAACCTCAATTTTTCAGCATATAAGAGTTTCATAGCTTTAATGAAGCTCAAAATTTCAAATGAACTGATCGATAAATGTTAAAGCTCAAATAGCCTTTAAGTAGAGTAGATAGCTGACATCGAGGACAATTCATCTGGAGTGACACTTTTTGAAGATAGCTGTTTAGTCTGCAGTAGAGAAGGCCTCCACCGTCCACGGGGGAGGTGTTTAGTTCGGTAGAGGAGATTTCAGTCCAGAATAGGAGCGTTTGGACTGCAGGTGAGTTAAATACAGAGGAATTCTTAGAATCTTATAATCGGAGCTTTCATTGTGAAAGAATAATGCTTAAGATCATCAGTTGAGTTTGACTAAACTATCGTCTAGGCTTGTAAAGATCTGAGGAGGTAATAAGTATAACTTGTATAATTGGTCCGCTAATAATGGCTAATTTAGCCATTTATATAGTTTAGTCTTTAATCTTGGAAAGAATGTTAATATCATGTACCATTATCAATATCCGTTCATAAAGAAAGAACAATGTCTAAGATCATCTGTCGTGTCAGACACGATAATTCAGCTCTCGGATTTATGATATTTTATCAGTCTAATTAGATTCGAAGGCAGAGAATCAACTCACATTTACGGCAGTGGATGACCATGAAGTGATTAATTTTAGGCATATTATGGATATAATTTACTGACAGACGCAACATATATTTAATATTTTTTGGTCATTTTATTTGTTCGACTACTGAATGACCAGCCGATCATAGATTTTTAAACTCACGCTCGCTAGCAAATTTTTTTAAAGTAGCACAACTTGTTTAAAACGACATGAATGAAAAACATAAACATTTGAAATAAACTTTAATTCTATAATATTAATAGAATCCGACATAAAATCATTTAACTAAAGATATAAAGAGTAAAGTTAAAATGCACAAATTTTAGCTGACAAAGTTTTCGGTCCACAGAAAATGTGGGTGCAATTAATTGGCGTGAAAGATTTGGGCGAGAAGGCCGCCCAAATTTTTCGTCGCACAATGTATTGGAACTTAAGCAAGGTATAACAGAGGAATACAAATTTTAAATGGTACAATGTCTTATCGCACGTATTACTGATTGCGTAGCTTGATTTATAATCCAGCTTTGTTGTCTTAAATGGATATGTTTTTGACCAAAACCCATAGTTGGGTAGAGTGGACCGCTTCCAGTGTCTCTCTTTCCGACACAAAAGGAAATCATATTATTTTGATTGACCGTCCGTAAATGCAAAATGATACTGAGAATGGAATCGGTCGCTCGCCTTTCCCATTCATTTAAAATTGTAATATATTAAGAAGGCAGCTGCATTCGGCAATAACGATTCAATAAACATTAGCTAATTGGACACTAACTACTGCCCTTATCCCGAAGTACTAAGCATCGGCCCGAAAGCAATCCAAGAGATTTTCACGAGTGTGATTGATGTCATAAACCAAAACTTATTACAATTCGTAAGCCGTGAATGAATGGGAAAAGCGAACGACCGACTTTATTCTCGGTATCATTTTGCATTTGAGAACGGTCATTCAAATAAATATCACTTCCTTTTGTTTCGGAAAGAGAGACACTGGCAGCGGTCCACTCTACCCAATTATGGGTTTTGGTCAAATTAACTTATTAATAATGATAGGTAACTATTCACTTAAATTTGTCTTTTTCAAACAAAGAAAAGCTACAGCTACGCTCTGAACCACCCCTAGAACACTCATAATAACGATGACAGTGTCTACGGGAAGGAAAGCCACTGCAGCGCTACCAAACAATGCTCCAAACTTGCTCGAACCGTCAATAATGACGATCGCAATGGTCTTGAGGGGTCCATCTAGCGTACTCATCATGTAGATCCACAAACTGAGGTTCAGATAAGCAAATGCTGCCTTGATCACTCCCATGAACATATCCGTTGTCTCTAGTCCTCCGTGTGTGGTAGCTAGCAGGACGAAGGAGATTGTGCTGACAAGAGAGGAGCACAACATAGAAACAGATAGAGGAGCAAACATTTGCACCAAGTATGCTCCCAACTTGGCTCCAATAGGGCCCAGTCCCGATATCAGGCTCATTTTCAAGTACTGGTACCCGAATATTGCGTTACAGTTATCAACGTTTGTACCAAGAGACTTGTTGAATTTGTTGTAGACTTCAGGAACAAACAAAATGAGACCCCAACCTTGGGCTATGTTCACCAAGTATGTCAAAGAGAGCAGAAATATCAGCATTTTAAGAGAATTTGACGCTCCAGATTCTTTGTCTGGATTTAGATCTTCATTTGCTCCATCATCTTTACCATTCTCCATGGACACTGAATACTTTCTAGAGTTCAGATACGTATCAGTTTCAGGTAGGTAGAAAATGAAAGCAGCTAGTGGAAATAGGAAGAGGGGCAGGGAACAAAGGACAAAGAAGGTCCTCCACCCAACATGGTGCAGAATGTAGTACGCCAACAGAGACGTGTACCCGGCCCCTAGACTAAAACACAGACTTGCTAACAACAGCCCCAAGTTCTTTATCTTCACTGTTGGTGATATCTCAGCCCAGTAGAGGTTTGTGATGCCGTAGTTTGATCCCACGAGGACCCCCGTAGCGGCTCGAGAGATAAGGAGTATGCAGAATTCGTGAGAAAGAGCCGCAAGAGTGGAGACCAGGAATGAAAGTCCCAGAGAGATGATGATGGTTATTCGTCGTCCTATTTTGTTAGCAAACCAGCCTGAACTAAAAGAACCTGTAAAATTCAACTGTTAAGTGTATCTGGTTGAGGAAATAAAGAATCAACCTTCTGTATCAGCCTTGGCACTAGACGAAATTCTGAAATACGGTGTAATAAAGTAAACAGCAGATTATAAGTTGGGCTATGTGCTGTTGAGGATATTGAAGATATTTGTTATCTCCTACCTGCCGCATAGAAGGAGTAGAAGACGACACTCAGCAGCCCCTGCTGGGTCCCACTCAGCAGCAGATCACAACTGATCTCCTGAGTTAGGATAGCTGGCAGGTAGATCTCCACTGCATCTCCAATGTGAGTTAAACAGATCGCAACCAGTGCCACTATTTGAATCGTGGATAATCTGGTTGTATTTTCTGAGTCGTGTTCGTTGGGGCAATTGTTTGGTTCCTCGGGCGGTTGGGAGTTTAGTGTTCCGTAACTGTGTGGTAGTGTGGTCATAGTCCTGTGTAGTACATCATTATCAACACACAAATAGCAAATATACAAATGTACAGCAAATCGAACAAACATGAAAATTAAATTGCCAAAGTTAAAATTGTGCAAAAGTATAAACTCGCTCAGTTAAAACCGTATCGAATAGTAATACTTAATAGGCTCCACTGCCAAATTACCAAATTATGTACAAATCAGTAATTAGGGGAGCTGTAAATAGGGAGAGAGAGTGAGAGAGAGGGGGAGAAAAAGTAAGACACTTTAGGGTTTTGTCGAAACTATACCGAAAAAAACCAGTCTCATAACTCTTACCGTTTTCTTGATTAAACCGTTAGGAAATTACACACGTACACCCACAGATTTATTGGGATTATTAGTATTATAGATGCCAAAAGTGTGAGTAAGTGATAGTAATAAAATAATGAACTGCGAGAGGTGTAAAACAATCGAGCAATGTCCTGGAAAGATGAACTACTTAGTTTAATCGAGTAATATATTTAACATATACGTGAATCTACAGATAACGGTCAGCCCTTATTAGGATATATAAAGATACTGGAATGTTTGATACGGTGGCAGATTATCGTTGTATCGTGGATGTGGCATAGTATATAATACTTTATACACTACTTTATACACTACTATATTTCAACACTACTATATAACAAATAATTTGAGAATTGATGTAAATAAATGATGCAAAGACTTACGAAGATCTAATCACAACCGCTTTCTTTTATTGTGTAGAAGTCCAGCCATGAAATATATATATTATATAGTATCGGATCAGGATCGGCTCACTAGCGAGTTACATGCGCGGTGCTCTACTGAGGCATACACTGATGTGTTGTCACTATATAGTGCGGGAATCAGCACACTGAAGGGGCAGCTGTGGTCGGGCTATCTGGATACTGCCAGCTGTGCCACGGTCTAAGAATTGAGCCTGAACATAATAACAGAAAAATAATAATATTTTATAATGAATCTCGTTGGCTCTAAGATGCCAACACCCTTGTTCCCTCGAAATAAGGTTTTCCCTCACTTCTCAAAAACTGCAGTTACCAAAGTTTGAAGCTTTTCTTCTTCTTCTTTCAACCCAAACACGATCAAGTTCCTGCTCCTGTCCTCCTCATGTCCTCCTCTGTAGCCACACTCTTCATGACCTTCTTTAACATTTTATTGTGCAGACCTTATCACTTGCCTGGACTTCACCGTTGTTTACAATGTCTCCTCAACCGCAGTCTTAAGCAACTTTAGCTGTTCGCTCTTATTGTTCTGTTGTTCCTGTTCGCTCTTGTGCACCAGCAGCTCGCCCTGCACTCTGCAGCCTCATCACATTTGCCTTCTCTACAAGCGCTTGCTGGTTTTCATCATGATGCTCAATGCTCATTTACCTTATCTGCCGCCGAAATAGGTCTACTGCATCGACATTCGACAAGCTAATATGATAAAGTCATTTTATTCTTACCCATGAACTTTTCATGTCATAATAGATCAATTTCCGTTTATATAAAGTTATTTTTCCTGCAACACAGCCTGCTCATCAAGATCGAAATTCTGAATTTTTCCTGGGATTGGGTCAAATTCAGTGCATCCTCCAACACATCAAATGTACTTGCAAGTAATGCATACGGCGTACTGCAAACACAGTGGCTATCTAAACGGTAGTAAAGGCAAAAACAAGTGCGGTGGGTGCGGAATCGCACTACTGACCCAATACCGCACTTGTTCGTTCTACAAGTACATAATTTGTGAACTTTGTATCGCTGTCACTCGCTGTGTACAATGAAATAAGATCGACAATCGACTGCCCCAACTATGGTTAGGATCAAACGTTTCCCATGACATAAAATTAAAAATATCGGAAATCGTCCCTGGAGCGAAAATGAATGTTAGCAAGCTGAAGCAGCTCCACTCAAGAGTGAGATAGCTGACCTCTCAGTCTGATGTCTCAACGTTCCTATATATATATGCGTTCATCCGCTAGTATATATGAGGTTGTATGTAAATTATATATACATACAACCTCAATACTCTTTCTGGAGCATTTTAACTTTAAGATTAAACTGTGACTTAGATTAAAGTTAAACAATGTGCAATGTGCATACATGTGTATTGTGTATGTATGTGTGCAGGATCGCACTATTTGCATAATTTTACCGCACCTATATGTTGCTTCTGCCGACGGTAGCAGAAAACTTGCCGAAAACTGATGAGCGAGAGTAAGAGTTATTCTGCATCGTTATTCCATTTTACGTTATACTTATTGTGAGCTGACCAAGACACTTTTTGTTGTAATGGGCTGCCTTTTTAAATCAACGAAATGTTTTAACGTTGAAAACAGGTCAAAGAATTGATCTATCATCTAGCAACCCCCGTAATAGGGTAAAGCACATAATTTTGTCATTTTTTGGCAATTTTCCGACTGCCTGATATAAACCATGGGTTTTAACCTCGTCTGAAATTCCGATTTAGATGAAACCTCCACCATGTTATAGTAGACAGTCTAGGCAAGTTCTATCACAAAAATGATCGAAATTGCTGGGGTTGAAGATGTTCAAAAAAATTATTTTGAAAAAATGACAAAATTAGGTGACTTTACTTAATTTTGTCACCCCGAACCTAATTTTGTCACTTGAAGATTGTGCAAAAAGTAACCGTTTCTCGGTATTTTAGACTACCTGGATGCATCATTCGAGCGCTTTTTTACCAACATTGACCTCAAAAATCCCAAAGATATGATGTTTTCATAGTTTTGTAGCTTGATGAAAAGATGACACTTTTTGGGTATATAATCTTAGAAAATAGCCCCCAAATGCCCCTGAAACCACTGGTATCTTGAAAAACAATTGGTTCTAGGTCTAGGTTGAAATTTTCATGTCTGTAGATAGATCACTTGCTTAGTAATTTCATCAATTATTTTTTTAGTCATTTTAGATTGAAAAAATCAGATTATCCACCTCGGCGAAAATATGCTATTATAAGTGTTATGCTATTATAAGTGCCTTATACATATCCTATGGGCAAAAAAACTTCAGAATAGTTGTATAAGGCCATTTTCAACACAATCTGTGATTTACAAGAAATTTGAGAAAGGTCGATTTTTTTGACAAAATTAGGTACTTTTGGCAAAATCGAACCTAATTTTGTCACCCTCTGTAACTTAAACAATAATTGCGCTAGAGACTTGAAAATTTGTACGTATACTTCTGCTGTAGAAGATATTTGAAATATGCAATGGCATGAAGCTAGCTCAATTACTTTTGAAATAGCAATAAATCAAAATTTTAAAAATTCCTTAAGAAAACCTTAAGGATCTTATTTATTTTTCGGGTTAACAGTTTCGCCTTCATTTTTGACACAGATGCAAAAGAGCTAAAAACTTAAACTTTGTAGGAGCAGTTTCAGCAAAGTCTAAGCTTTCTTTTTATACACAAACCTTTTCTTTCAAGCTGAAATTCCGAGCCGAGGCAGTTTTTCAGAGCAAAATGACAAAATTAGGTACCCTGACAAAATTACGTGCATTACCCTAGTAATAATAATTATATTAATAATAGTAATAATAGTATAATTGCTTGTTCACTGTTCAGTATATACGCTAAACTTATTATCAGTATTTTATAGTTTGCATTAAATATAATAAGTCAATATTAAAGATATATTCTAGGAGCATCCCGGTCCTATATATCTTATATTCAAACAGAATAGAAGTGCCGAATCTTGCTAAGTAAAACTATACGATAAATAATATGAGGAAAGTGTTGGTATCTCTTTTGCTCTGCCACAATAATCCTGCGGAAATCTGAAAGTGTTTGATAAAAAGGTGTCTTGTTATACGAACTGTGTACAACAAACACTATGCGAGTCAGTCAAGGAAATTAATAGAAATCCCACCAAATTGCTGTGTTTTGGATATTGGAGATTCAGTGGATAGCGCACGTGCACAAAATTTACAACACGTGCAGTCATCCGGCACCTGAGCATGTGTCCTTTTGTATCTCTGTCCCTTCCTCAATACTTCAATATTCTTAGTCACTTCATCTTCACTTCACACATCACACTATTACTCCTATTGTACGCATACTCTACCTTTATCTCACAAATATTTTTCTTACAACTTTTCTTATTCTCTGAAAGTGAATATTATCTTACTGTATATAAAGCGAGACGATATATATATTTACGTTTATATATCCGTACCATTTTACTGACACCACCAGAAAGAGTATTGAGGTTTCTTCAGCAAATATTAAAGAGTAAAGTAATAGATCGCGGTGATTTTTCCCTCCAAATTAATTCAGTTTTGATGAACGTTGCCACATAATCAAAGACTTGAAAGACCTTGACAAACAACAAAGACCTTGACAAACAACAAGTGTCTTTTATTTAGTTTACTCGAGTAATTCACAAAATCTGCAAAATTTCGTTTCCAAATTTGAAGGTGGTTGGCTCTAGAACGACATTTCAAGTTCCTGTGTAATTGTGTAAAGGCTACACTGCGATCACACTCTTAGACGAGCATTTCTTATTAAACGTTACTGATAGTAGAGCTTGAGAAGTCGCCAATTGAAACAAAATGTAAAACGGCTAGATTCGAATATTGTTTATGAAGGTGAGTGTTAATGTTATTAACCACGGTGCTAATTAATAGACAATAATTGCAAATACCGGACAATAATCACTTCTCCCTTGTCGATGACATTTAGAACTTTATTTCCTCTATAAAGAAATTATTTATTTAGAGCTCCTTTTGACTTGGCTAGAACTATACATGGGAAGTCCCAGTTATTTAAGGAGAGTCCGTCTCAGAAGGTTCTGAGCCCACTAATACTATTGAGCGTCTTAAAACTTTGGGTTTTAAGGAGTTTATGAATTTCTTGAATTAAGATGTTCATTTTACTTCTTGTTTCAGTCGTCATTGTATTTGTATTGCGAACTTACCTCAGACTTTCAATTTCGGTAAGTTGACACAAATAATACAAGAACAACAGAACAAAAATATAAATCGAGAAATATATTTGGATAACTCCATGGGAATTAGTAGTGTATGGTAGTAGTGTATACTACTATTAGTGTGCACACTGAGTAGTGTGCAATCTGAGTAGTGTAGTGTGCACACTACTGACTACTCAGATTGTCCCTTTTAAACGACAAAAAGGGTCTTTTGTGAATTAAAACGTAAATCCTATAGTAAATCACTTTTCTCTACATATTAACTTTTGATAATCTGCTTAGACTTTATGAGAGATATGTTGAGTGTGACGTCATTCAATTAACAGGAACGTTAAAACATTAAAATTGATGTGAAAAATCATAATCAATATATGTTAGCTAATACTCAGTAGTCTGTGTACCCTGTAGTTTAGTCCCATTTACACTATACTACTCACCATGAGTGAACATTAGCGAACTGAAGAATAATTAGCAACCGGTATTGTTTCTAGATGTCGTTGTCGAACAATTGTAGATCAAATGAGACTTGAGGCATTGAGGTATTGAAGCAGTCTTACACAAATATATGTGCTCAAAACGCAACTTATAGACAAACAATTAACAAATTCCTGAAGTTCAATACAATAGCCCTCCTTATAGGCCGTGCCCTCTTCAAGATCCGTACCCTTTTCATGTAACAGCTTTGTTGTCTGCTAAGCTTAATCGCTACTCTTTGAGTATCAT